CGACGCCGAAAGGCTCGGTGACGGACATTGACGAGGACTTGCGTCTATCCAGGGCGGCAATTCCTCCGTCTAGCCAGTCCAACTGGCCCATCATATCACCTTCTCTGTTTTTCCCGCACCCGAAGATGCGACAGAAAGTCCATATGCGCCAGAAAGCATCGTCGACCGCCAAAGCCCGAGACTCATCCGCACCCAGGAGGCCACTTTTCGTTTCTGGGCGGAGAAAAGCATCGCATTGTGCGAGAATAAGCGATTTGAGTTGCGCAAGTGTAAATATATCCTGAGCGTAGCGCTGGAGATAAAGGAAAGGAGTGTATTCGGGGACCGGTGCGTCAGGGTCGACTAGAATTTGCCACTCGCAATCCCACGCCGGGCTCATTTCGCGGAGTTCCCACGCCGGAGGCGAGACTGTAAGGACAGTGTTCTTCATCAGACGCAACTCATGGTCTTTGAAAACACGGTAGAACAGTTTGTCAATTACTGCCATGTGGAACAGATCATCGAGGGAAGATGCATGCTCCATGATCAGAAGAACAATCTTGTCCGGTAAATAAGAAGGCATGGATCCGAGGGATTCTCTCTGGGGTGAGCAATCAGGGTCTGATTTCGGCTGCGGAGAGTCACCATGAAGCTCGTAAACCATGTTTGAAAGTGTTAGCGGCTCCGGTTCACAGTGCGCATGATCATCTGTATTTGTATCCTTGCTGGACGAGATAAAGATCTTCTCTTCGCGAACATCGTCCTGGTCCTTTTCAAAGATGATCACCGGGCCGCCCGGGCTAATACTACCGACGGGCGGAGTACCGATGGGAGTCGTGCCGATGGGGGTGGTTCCCGCTCGACTGGGAGCTCTTTGATCTGTATGAATTTCGTTGGTCTGTAGACGAGGAAGTTGTAAACGCAGTTCACGTTCGCTAGTCTCAAATGAGGGTCGTGGCGGATGCTCAAATTCCATGAAAACCGGGAGTTCCATCGAGTCATATCTTTCTCTCGGTTCAAAGCTGTGTTCGAAATGGTTCTCGATCCCCATTGGACCCAACCTGTCCATTTCGCGCACCGGCTGGGTCTCGGTTTCGGGCCTGACGTCGCAGCTACTTGGTGAGCGAGATTCAGATTTGTTAGGCTTTCGGCCGAAACTGGGCAAGTTGAAGGTGAAATGCATCTTGTTCTTGGGAGTCTTCTTTGGCTTGAGATCTTCGCGTGACTTTGCAACGCGTAGCTGCTCACTTCGTTGCACATCGATGGGAGGCGGAGGTGGTCGTCGAGTAGGGATCATGTCCATATTTCCACGGCTTATCTGCAAAGGGCCCTCCAGGGGTTGATAGGTATTGGGCGACCGAGCGGGCTGATTTGCAACCCCGGCAAGAGCGCTCTCTAGATCATCAGCTGCCTGAGAAAGAGTCGGGTGATGACCACGCTTCTGTTTTCCCGAGCGCACCTGGTCGGCCATATTGCCATCATTCGGGCTATCTCCGGCTCCCTGAGGCTGGTCGCGAGGACCACGACGAACCGATAGTGGAGCTAGTTGAATGATAGGCTCCAAGGGTAAGGGCTTATCTTTCAACTCTGCCATCGTGGGCTTCTTCCTCAACGGGCTGGGAGGAACGTGCAGCGTGGACGCCGAATCGTCGAATACGCCTGCAGCCGCAGGGGAGAGAAGAGAGAAGTTATCCGCGGATTTAGGGTCAAATCTGCCGGGGTCGGAATTATGAGTCGTTACCGAGGATCGTCGACTATAACATGACGAGTTATGATCGAGAAGGTCGCTCGATGACAACGAAGATGAGGTTTGTCGTGCAGACTCAGAAGGGTATTGGGACGACGGGGATCCGGTGCGAGGAAATTGCATCGTTTGCGAAGTGGCGCTGGACGGAGATGTAAGAGTGAATTGAGTGGAAAGTTCCGGGAAGAAACGAAGGTAATGGGTCCCTGGCTTGTTTCGATCGGACATGGCGGGAGATATCGGTCGTCCGTCATCGAGTTCCTCGTCAAACCAGTGCGCATTGTTCTTGCGGGGAAATGGCGAGAGTCGGCCCTGAGAAGAGGCCATGGTAGCCTCAGCCTTTTTTGAACTCGTCGACGAAAACCCAAGAGGCGATGCTAATATCCTCATCTTGCCAAAAGATGGGGCTCGACTAGTCCTCGAGTTGACCACTACCTTGAACCTTTATCCGAGATATAACCAACTCGGAGAGAAACAGTCCCCGGTAAAAGAGCATCAACGTATGCTATTGACGAATGTGATTGGAGGAAACGATGGCTGTGGCACTGAGATCAGACAAGGCGTCTCTGACTATTTTCCAAAATGCGCATCATCTAGACCAGCCAGGGTTGTTCTCTTTGTTGCTATTATTGGTCGTGTTACTTGAGCGAGTACCTGGGGTTCCCCTGTCCTTTCTACAAAGATGGCCGGCCGAGCAAGGTGAAAGGCATTTGCTATAATGGGGCGTCACACGGTTCCGGAACAGCGCAGAGTGAATGAAACAGCCGAGCCTCTACTCAAAGAAGTTGTTTCTCGCCCGAGGAATATTCTAAGAACACCGGGGGCACAAAGACCGTCTCAAACAGCTGGCAGGGGTTGGTTAGCTCAAGTCTGCAGAGAACAATGGACGGTTGTGACGATTTTTATAGTCGAACTAACCAATGAATCCGGACGGCACGATGGGCGAAGAGCAGTACAAAGAACCGAGGGGGGAAGGCCCAGAGATTTACAAAGAAAAACGGCGCACAGAAGGGCTGTGACGGCGAATTGACGATCATATACTATTTATTAGACTGGAGAGACTAGTCGTAGTGTCTGACCACCACGTGCCAGGGATACCTTCATGATCCCTGCCGCGAGAATGCGAGCGAGACATGGGAGCTAATTATGGGGTATTTTCGGACATTGGAGATTGTGTCGTCCGATAGAGCAAATCAAGGGGGCAGAGCAAATAGGCTGAAGCCAAGGACGAGCGATCCAGGGGTCCGTCCGAATTAGAGTCCGGATCTCCAGAAGGATGGAAGAAGGCAGATGGAAGGAAGCGGAAGAGTGTTTGAAAGACGAAAAGTGAAAATGGAACGATGATGAAAGACACGAGGGGGCCGGAATGACACTGGGCCGTATCAATACCGTCGATACCGTACCTGCCTGGATGCCGTCCGCCGTCCGCCGTGTATCCGGTCGTATCGTATCGTTCCTGACTCTCAGGTCTGTCTTGCGTCTACTTTCATTCTTCTTCCACCCACAACCACCTCGTTCCTAGATCATCAACTTTCATGTTTATCATTCCTCTTTCTTGTCTACTATCTTTCACACACATAAAATTAAATCCGTATATGATCATTTCCATTCGGAAACCCCGGAGTAACTAGTTGACCTCATGCTGCATACTCCGCCATCCAGCGGTTGACGATCGACATCCCTCACAGCAGGTCCGGTTCGTACGGTGTACAGTATGGATAGGTCAAGTAAGCAGGCCTTCTGCATCTCGCAGGAAGGTCACTAATTTGGGGCAGGTCCGCCTGCTAGTTCTTGGGGCTAAACCACGACCATGCCAATCGGGTTGGGGGCTGAGCGACTAGCAACGTAGCTAGCCATGACCAGACGGCGCAGACGCAGACGGAGTACCGGGGGGTGATTATATTTAGGCCTTCCGATGAAGGTTCGCTATTGAGACCTGCAAAACGGATGCGGTAGTGATTGCGACTGCGCCGTACGACGGTGATTTGATCGCTGGATCCCCGCATGAAAAAGGCTGGTTTAGTGAAAGTATTGCCTCGTGCGCCTCGATATCGCTATGTTGGAGGAATTGACAGCTTGGCGGTCAAACTTCCCCTCATTGAAATCACTTTCGCGTGATTAATGGCTCCATTTAGTGTGGCCCACTACGACCTGATTTCTTGGTCAATTCACAACTGTAACCTCGTCAAGAATGATGGCATGCAGGCATCCCTGTAGAACCCCATTCATCTCCATCTCCACCGCGACCTAACCAATCCTTCAGCATCTGGGCGTGACGCATTTGTTTGGCACGCATTAAACACCTGCATCTAGGCGCTGAGCAAGGCTCAGGTTTTGACAATGCCCTACGAGGCACTTTTTTTCGAGTTTTAAAGAAGGGTAGACTATCGCCGTTGTTCAAATGTCAACTGCATAGTACGCAGTAGAACACCGCCCCAACTCCGGGCTCCACTGCGGATGAGCTTAGTGTCGTTGCTCACTGTCTTCCAGTGTCCACCGTCCAGGCACACCCGCGACCGGCTCGAACCTGCCGTATTTCTGGTTTCTGACAGGTGACGCGCTCCTCTGTCCTCAATAATCATCGTTAATTGGGACTGTTCTGGGAAATTGGGCACAAGCTGACGGGGCGGGTTCTTCAGCCCCTGCGTTAGTGAAATTATCTCGACCCAACTGCTCGATACGGAGTACACAGTACGAACAACTTGTGGTGAGGTATTACTGTGTACTCTGGATGGATCGCACGCTACCAGTTCAAAGCAATTTGGGGGCCATCGCGTAAGACCGGACGCGTCGTCGGCCGATGAACCCATTCTTGGTATCTTCAGCTTCTTTGACTCTCGTTCCCTATGATGTCTATCCGTCATAAGATGCCTGCTGATCTAGTTATGATCATCCCTTCGCCGTGCGTAGGAGCAAAAACTACAGTATCTTCGAAACCAATAAGCATGATATCATTTATGCCCTTGTGCTGACAACGCTGATTACCTGCTAAAGTTTTGTTCCTGGATTTAGTCTTCCTATCATCTTCGTCATCGCCTCTCGCTTTTCTCTTTTTGGCCCCTTGGTTTCACGTCCGCGTGTTTACCCCTATTGTTCTGACAGACCAACATAACAGCGAGCCTCCAATAACTTGATAACTCATGCGCTAAGGCTTCCAATATCCATATGAACCAGCCTAATCGAGAGCTCGTGTCGAATGCTCGTCGGTGACAACTCTGGGTCCAGTCAGACATCGACCGAGTGCCATCCCAGAAATCTGGCTGACCCCAGCAGATATCTACCCAGAACGCAAACTTAGATAAATGGCCCAGACCACGCTAAAGAGGCTTCCAGAAAGCATTCGCTTATCTATAGGCACCACAGTGAAGTTCAGCACTGAGACAAATGTCCAGAGTTTCATTCCTGCAAGCAGAAGGGGCCAGAACTCCTAAAACCATATTATCAGCGATTGCTCAATCCTGAACTCAACAAGGAGGGAGGGGCACCTACCATTTTCACTTGCTCCATGATGGTGCCGTAATCATCACCACGCAAGTAACCCATGAGGGCAATGAGAAGAAATGTGTTGTAGGCACCGCCGATCGTTTGATCAATCACGACCTTGGCTACGATGTTTTTCACATTTAGTCTCGAACGGGGTTTCTGCTCCTTGTCCTTTTCCGTCTTGGACTTGGGGGCTGGCTTCTCCTCGTAGGAACCGGGGAGAGCCGACTCTAGACCTTCTAGCCACAAGAAGGTCAAGGGTGACATCAACAAGGCACACGTGGTGAACAGCCACAGGACTTGCCGGTCCAGTTCAAAGGGTTTCTGTGAGAAGGGAAGCTCCCCGACACCCCATGCCGGAGTATTACAGATATTATCTGCATATTCTCCATGCACGGCGATGCCGATTGGCATGATGATTCGTCAGCCAAGGCACTCAGATCGATAAGGTAGTACGTGGGCAATCAAGCTGAGACCAGCGGTGATGTTGGCTGGCTTTTCTCTTTCCCAAGTTGGTCGTTGGTTCTGCCATTATCTCCATCTCACCCTGGATCATTAGTCCACATACCTCGTTCTGGTGTGCTTGGATGCCCTGGGCCAGGATGTTTGATCCGGCATTGATCAGCGTAGACTGCAACGAAGCCTTGACAACCGGGGGCAACGCCATCATGGAATCAGATTGAAACCACGTGGGATTTGGGGCCAGCAGTTGATAATTTAGTCGTTCCTTGGTTTCTGGCGTAAATGATCAGCGTCGATCCGATTTTTGACCCCAAAATGAAATACGAACGCGAGGATGGATCGTGCCCCTGCGGTACGAGGTGACTCTGGTCCCGAGGGATCTCTCTTAAGGAAATTTGATCAAAGGGTAGCCGCGGTGGACTTGGAGATTTATGTGGTTGGAGCTCGAATCAAGTGATCAAGATAGATGACAGACTGGCCACAGTGCGCGTCGAGATGTTGCAGGTTCAACGGTGGATCTTCAGCTGGGGTTGCCGATCTCACTACTTTGCGGTGGGGATGCGAGAAAGAGGAAGGTTTACACGACTCAGTCAACGCCCAACGCTCAACTATCAAGGAAAAGTTGAGTCAAGTCTCGCACTTGATCGGATTGAAAAATAAATGTAAGTCTAATTTATACAACGGGAAATCAAGCTTGTATATTTATAGGGAATGCCATGTGGTCAATTCTTTAATTAAATCGGGACTCGGAGGACTGGACGAATTGAATTGACCAGATTTCAGAAACACGCCAAGACAGCCAGGGACGGGCTTTTGTCACCTTTTTTCTCTCTCTTCTGATCTGGGAATGCAACAATGCATGGAACAGATATTCGGCAATCAATTAATTGATTAATGACTTGAATGTCTAGAATCATTCCTTCAACCCTCACGTCGATACGGAGCATATTGTCTGGTTACCAGGACAGGTCCTTTCGGCTCAAGTCACTCTGACAGTCGAGTTCCTTGCACACTGTAAACACCATCCATGAGCCAAGCATGCACCTTTGACTCGAAAAGAGGTCGATAAACTTACGCTGCTCTGCCTGTTGGAATCTCATGTTCTGTCTGGGTTTTCGAATAGCCGGGTATATATCGGCATTTTGGGATTTCTCCAGCTTACTGTGTGATTTCAGGAGGTTGAGGATACATTCTTGAATCTCTATCCAACTCGTCAGATGAATCTGTTCGACGGTGGTGCTTGAGGTTTTTGGGAATATACCTGGATTCGAACGGGCATCCGAGGAGGCAGGGTCTCTAAACGGGGTTAATCTCGTTTTCTTGGTTATTTACTTGTTTCATTCGAGTTTTGTTTATGAATGAATGAATTTTCGGAGCAGGAAGCAACTCACCCGTTTCCAGAGATGTAAGACTGATATTGCGCCTCTAACTCTCGAGTCTTCGCTGTCAACAGACGCACAATGGCCTCCGAAATTGCATGAGAATTGGGTGTTGCCTTGTTACAGTACAGATCATATCGTATGGCTGTCCTCGATTCCGAAACCGGAAGAAAACTGAGTGAATACCAGCATCCCGTGCCGGGGATGGTGAGGATCGATGTTATTGGGAAGACCATGTGATTCTCTGACCTCCTTTGGAAGCATCGCGCTATACGCGCCATCAGTGGTAGGGCACTTTGCTCTCGGAGCTTACGTTCTAGGTGTTCGGCATCCAGGAATTTCTTGGATGTTACTTGTTGAGGTTAGAAGAACGCTGGGTGTGACGAAGCAAGAGAGTATCAAACAAGCACTCACTGCACATTTTCCAATTGAAAGCGCCCTCAATCGTCTGTCCTGCCACCCAGCTAGCCCGTGTCTGAAGACCATTCCTCTGCACAAACACATCCAGAGCATCGGTCTTGGACGGAGACACCGTCGGGCTAGCATCGAATTTCACAAACAAAAAGCCATCGTCGCTGGTAAAGGTATGTATCTCGAAGAGACTATTCTGCGATTTTTGAAACCCCGGCACATGGTCGAATTGAGGCGCCTTGATGAGGTTCCCGGACGTGTTGTAACTCCACCCGTGGTATCGACAGAGAAGGACCGGCGACGATCCACACTCTTTCTCGATGACCGTGTATGCGCGATGACGACAAACATTGTGAAACGCCCTGACTTGTCCGTCTTTCCCTTGTACCAAGAAGATCGGAAACCCGGCTATCTGGAAGGACTGGTAGTCTCCTGGTTTGGCGAATCGGCTGCGATGAGCCAGGCATATCCATGTCTAGGAAGGCTGGTAAGCGCAGATACTAGAATTGTTGATTGGAGATTGGGGCTTTAAGCTTTCTCACTTTGCTGAAGAGTGCGCGTCTTTCGAGCTCGTAGGTTTCTTTCCCTACCCACCAATCTGCAGGAAATTCCGGCTCTTTAGAGACGACGTTGGCTTCGTCCTGGTCCTTTGCAAAGGATGCGGCTGCGGCTGCGGCTGTGGATGCATCATTGGGTTTCGAACCACTGCCGGCGTATAATGAACGCTTGTCCCGGATCGACAAGTACGGCCAGGCCCGATATAGGAAAATGAACCCGGCGAGAAACGTAACCACCACGGACGGTGCTACGGCGACCACGGAAGTCAGGATGTCCATGTTAGAGCTCGGGGGGATGGAAGTCGGGATGATGGTCTAATTCGGGGTTTGGGAGAAACGGAAACGGTCCAGGCTTTTAAGGGAAACCTTGAATGATTGCAGGCGTGATCAACAACTCATGCATTATCTCCGCCAATCTGCATCTACGTTGTACTGGGATCCACTGAGTTGCGGTCCTCGTATCAAATGATATGGACGCCTCGTAACGTTGCCGGATCGGGAGGGGAATTCCAGCGTCTGTGTGTCATTTAAGATCTTCGTGCTACCTCTGATGTGTTGCATTGGTTGGTTGGATGTTTTGATCTGATTCTTTGCGTTTGCGAAGTGGCGGCTGGTTTTTCTACGAAGAGAGAAGTCTGCGTGTGTGCACTATTGCAATTTAAGAGACCCTTGGGGTCCTTTGGACGAGAGCTTTCCCTCCTGTTGGCAGTAACGACATCGCTATAAGGACTAAGTCCTGACGCAACGCAAACTACGCTTCATGCAGCAGCTTCGACATGCTCCGGTCTCCTAACTTGACCCTCATCATTGAGTTCTGACGACTCTTCTCGCAATCTATCGGTGGCATGCTGCTGGCACACTAACTCGAAGACCCGATCTTGATAGACTTCAACCCATTAGCCGCTTAAATATCACGTCAAAACCCGACTATACTCACAGGAAACGCCGTTCTCTTTCTCCGGGTTCAAAATGCCCTCGCTATACACCCCCTTCTCGAGGTTATGTTGCGCTCTCTCGCAGAGCTCGTAATCCTCCATGGCTACCTGTCGGACAAATTTGAAATATTCCTCAAACTTATCCCCAGATTCTACGTGGTAATAGTCGAACTCCATTCTGGTGACATTTGGATCTTCCGTTGGACACACCCGGAACGAGGACATGCCTCCTCCGTATACATTCAGAGTGCAATTTGGGAAGAAATAGAGGAAGAGCCCGTCATCCGGTTTCTTGGGATCCGCAATATGCTGCGAGAAGTTCTGGTGGTTGTGGACTGTGTAGAATGTCGGTGGATAGTAGATGGAAAATGATGGATGCGTGTATTGGCAATGCAGACATTCTTGGTAGCCATCGACCCTATGAGCATAATTTGTGTCAGAATGCATCGCCGTAAACCCTGAGGAGAGGTGTTTACATCGTCTTCCAGTTGAAGTGTCCTTCGTATTTAATGCTGCGTCGGTAGGGCCGTTGCGTGAAGTCCACTTTCTGCAGTAGGGGCTCCAGCTCGGGGAAATAGTCCTGGAAGCTCGGTGCTTCGTCTGATAATGTCGCAAATACAAGACCCGTGGGAGTGACATGGCAGCGTAGGGACCTTTCCTGGTCTAGAGTCAGGCTAGATTCTATATGTAAGATGGAGCTGGGGGTTGAATCGAGTCGATGATCCCATGTTATCCTGACTTGCATCAGAGAATACTTACGGTCTTCGCGCAAACGACCCGAATCTCATCTGCTTCGGGGAAAAGAGCATCGCCTGAGACGCGGGAGGCCAATATTGGCTGCTGAGCTACTTCGTACTCGACCTGTTCTCCGACATTTTGGAATCGAGTCACCGGTCCAAGCAGATACCAGGACTGCAAATGTGAGATAATCGTTGGTTTCTTTCCTTCCCTCGTCCCCTCCCGTAAGACACTAGAAGCGTACCTTCAAGAAGACCGCTCTGCGCTCCAGTTGATACAATGGAGGACTGCGGTACCAGGATGCTGGTAGAGTACGAGCAAGTTCCGTCATGGCAGTCAGATTATACCAGTTGTTTGAATATGATAAAGTGTTGTTCTAGTCTATATGGATACAGCAGAAGCAAGCCAAGCCCTATATGAAGAGCGACCTACTTCCAAACCCCATGGCGATCGGATTGATATCACCCACATCCATTGGATAGGCGAATATTTGCCTGAACAGGCTATCGGATCCCGAGAGGAGAGGTGGTGGTTTATCTAATAGTTTGGAGTTCTGGCGAATGAGTGGGAAGATGATGTGTCAAAGGGTGTGTGATGCAGCAGGAGTATGCACCTGAGCCTTGATAGGCGACCTCAATGTAACCCACAAGCCTAGTCGAGCCGATAGGTTTATAAATCAGGTGTTTGGAGCAATCATGTTTCATTTCAAAGAAAGAGAGGGGCATTCATAGGTGAAGCTATAAATGCACTGTTGGGCTTCTAGAAACGGCATGGAACATTGCTTGGTATGCTAGGCTTCTGTATAAATTCAGCACAAGAAGCAGCCGTTTGCCAGAAACATAAGACAATGGTCACTGAACAAGGCGTGACGGGAAACTCCAGAAGCTTTGACAGATAATTTTAGTAGCTCGTATCGTTGTTGCCTGTTCGTCGTTCTCGCCGGTGGCAATGGAGGAGAATTCTGCCTGCAAGGAACATTCTCGCAATCGCACCTGGTTTCGAGAACTTCCTCCAACAGTCTACCTGGATTGTATCTTAAAAGTGATCGGAAATAGTTGTGGCAACCGTCAAGTAAGTGAGACTTGAGCGTCATTTCTGTTATCGCGATCGGAGATCACATGTTCGGCGATCAGGTGGGCCCCTCGATTACGTCGTGATCCTCGCCTTCGTCTTCTTCCACCTTCCTGCCTACCGGGAAGAATGAGCCACATCACCTGGATTTCCTGAATTCCTGTCTATATTATCTCCATTCATCACAAAAAGAAAGAATGGCAGGGTCCGGCGTGAAGTTCACGCCTCCGCCGTCGCCGCCGTCGCCGACTGCGTCCTTCTACGACGTCAGCGACGATGAAGAGAACGACTACAACACCATCTCACATGCCGCCTCTCGGAGCGGCGTGAAACTCCTGTTCTCCAAGAGCAAAGTGAGTGATGTCACCTTTCTATTGGAATTACTAATAATCTGATACATTTGCCCTTCCGCAGGTCTACGTTCACCCCACCCCTTCCGCCAGAGATAACATCCCTGGATTCATTGCTCTCATCCAGCAAAAGCCGAGACCTTCGAACACCACCGCCTCGGCTGCCTCATCGAAAAATGGCGCAAACTCTTCCTATCTCCTGGCCTGGGTCCCCGAATCGTCTCTCGGCGACGCCTACGAAACCTACGTCAAGGTGGACCTTGCCGACGGTACCTCTGCTCCGCAGCAGAAGTATCTAGTGCCTCCGCTACCAGCGACAACTTCATACCGCGACCCCATCGGTCTCTACGCATTTGCTGTGCCGCTTTCTGAGATATATTCCTTGCTTGTGCGACCACCTAGCCTAGGGTGGTGGTTTGGAAGCCTAGTGATCAACACACGAGCCGGCGATAGCTTCCCCGCCCTATTTTTCCATGACTCGGAGTGCGAGTCGACGATATTACAGAAGAAGAAAAGAACACGGGAGACATTTGATCCCTTCGGCGAGGACGGCAATGTGTTCTGGGGTGGCGACGAGGTCTTGAGGTGGCTACGAAACTATGCCGAGGTCCAACGTTCCGCCGTCGATCACAGTGTGTATCTCATCAACCCGTCCGATGAAGATCAGATGTCTTTCGGTCGCCCACTGTCCGCCGATGGGCGAGAAATGCAGCGTGCGGAGAGCTCGGCTCAACAGGGAAGCGGACAACGGGATGCGGGCATGGACCCTGTCACCAAGGCAATAAAGGAAACCGGATGGAAGGTTCTCGAAGGATTCAGCAAAATCACGACGTTTACAAGACGGACGGCGAACGAGATAGCCGACAGCCCACGCCTGCCCCCTCAGATGCGCCGACTGATGAGATCACCCGAAATTCAAACGTTGCAGGATGAATTCGATAGTGCTAGGCTGTACTTGGCCCGATGGGCGATGAGCATCTCAGAGCAGAGTGAGAAGGAAAAGAATCAACGGATATGGACGGCTCGAGATGTCCTCGAGATGGAAAATAGCTCGGTCGGAGACTTTGAAATCTTGGAGCTGGAGACCGGGACAATGTCTATTCAGGAACGACGCAAGGTATTGGAGCTTAAAGAGTGGGAAGGCTTCTTTGATCCTACTACGGGCAGGCTGCAGATCACAGTTGAGGAAGTGAAGGAGCGAATTTTCCATGGCGGCCTTGATCCAAACGACGGCGTCAGAAAGGAGGCATGGCTGTTCCTGCTGGGGGTCTACCCATGGGACAGCTCTCGTGAAGATCGCCAAGCGCTGATGAACTCGAAACGTGATGAATACATTCGATTGAAGGGCGCTTGGTGGGAGAAAATGATCGAGGGTTCTTCTAAGCCGGAGGAGTACGAGTGGTGGAAAGAGCAGAGAAACCGCATAGGTAAGCTTCTTGCTTTTTCGTGTGCCGTCTCTCAGCAGCTGGCTAATTCAACATGAACACCTATAGAGAAAGATGTTCACCGTACGGATCGCACGATTCCGCTGTTCGCGGGAGAGGATATTCCCCATCCGGATCCGGACTCGCCATTTGCCGATACTGGCACCAACGTGCATCTCGAGCAAATGAAGGACATGCTTTTGACATACAATGAGTATAATCCCGATTTAGGTTATGTGCAAGGGATGAGCGACCTACTGGCCCCAATCTACGCTGTCATGCAAGACGATGCAGTTGCATTTTGGGCTTTTGTTGGATTCATGGATCGAATGGTAAATTCTCTCCAGAACTTATAGTCGGTGCAACAATGCTAACTTCCTCATAGGAGCGAAACTTCCTGCGCGACCAGTCGGGCATGCGCGTGCAACTTCTCACCCTCGATAATCTTTTACAACTGCTCGATCCCCAGCTTTACCTCCACCTGCAGTCTGCCGATAGTACCAACTTTTTCTTCTTCTTCCGGATGCTCTTAGTCTGGTACAAGCGTGAATTCGAGTGGGCCGACGTTCTTCGTCTCTGGGAAACTCTCTGGACCGACTACCTAACTAGCAATTTCCATCTCTTCATTGCCCTCGCAATTCTAGAGAAGCACCGGGACGTGATCATGGATCATCTCAAGCATTTTGACGAGGTTCTCAAATACAGTAAGTCTCCCATGATACCACCCGGACTGGCTGTATGAATGCTGACCCCTGCGAAAGTCAACGAACTATCGAACACCATGGACCTTCTTCCAATTCTCACCCGTGCTGAATCTCTCTTCCATCGCTTCGACCGCGCCGTCCAAGCCATAGACAAGAAGAATAATTTCCCCGCTCCCTCCGCGCATCAAAGACACCCAATCCAAGATTCTGCAGATCCCAATAAGGGCAAAGCCCCTCAGAATTCCACAAACGCCGGGTTCAGCAGCGGCGTAAATGCCGGTCGCAACTCCCAGCCACCATCATCATCTCAGGGATCTTCCAGCACGGAGCAGCCCAAGGTTATCTCCCCGGAATTGAGAGATCTCTTCAACAAGACCTTCTACTGGAAAGAACACGCAGAGCCACAGCAGCGTCAGCCGGAACGAGATGCAAACCCGTCGTAAATTGTTTATTTTCCTGCTTCCCTTTTGTGCTGTTGATTAGAACGAACGTGGTGTCCCTATACTCCATGTTCATGCGTTTATCTCTCATCTTAAGGCTCCCGGGAGGTTGTATGCCTGGCTTTCATTGTTCTTTATATGTATGTGCTACCTTTTTCTATCAATTGGGGAATGGATGGATTGGCGTTTTCTAGCGTGGTTTATTTTGCTGCTTGTGTTATTTTTAGTTTCTCGTTCTGACATAATTATGCCATCTTCTTATGACATCATGACATACATTTTGCCTTATCTTTCTTTCTTTTGGATCCAAGAAGGTAACCATTTGAGGTGTCTAACAGTCCTCTACTCTAGGTGTAGCCATCGAGTACCAAAGAGTGAATATTAGGCTCCAGGGCACGATTGCCTGGTCTGAGCAATGGAAGGGGATTTTGCTGCAAAGATTCAACCCCCACAACATGGAGTCTCTACCAAATGAATTGCTTGCTTCCATCGGCAAGTACGCTCAGGACTACGACTTCCATGCCCTGACTTTGTGTTCTAAGGGACTCCGCGCTGTGTTTCTACCTTTTCTTTTTTCCTCCTACCTTCAACGCCGCCCCCGCGGATTGGGTCTGGGTGATGCCTCGATGATCATTCTCCTCTGGCGACACCCCGAACTCGCCACCCATGTCCGCTATTTCCAACTTGCATGGCGGTCTGTTAATAACTATTTCGAGGAAGATTCCCATCTTGGGGACGAATTCAATGAATTCATTGACCAGGCGCTTGACGAAATCTTCGAGCCCGAGGAACAAGCATGCCGATCGAAATGGCGAAAGCATCTACAAAGGCAATGCGAAGAAGCCTGGAAGGCACTCCTCCTCATGCGCCTGACGCATCTGCAAACCCTCGAGCTCGCATCTGGATACACAGAAGGCTTAGTGCCGGATATACTTCGCAAGGCGGCGCACCGACAGCGTCCCTTTCACAAGTCACCTCCATTTCCCTATCTGCGAAACGTTGAAGCGGTGCCTGGGCTTATGGACCCCGCCATCGGTTCCCGTCTCATCCTGCCCTTCTTTTATTTTCCGGCCGTGCGCACCATTAGAGGGCTTCATTGGAGTGAGGGGCGCTCCTGGAAGAGTGTATGCGGGTTGAAGAGCGACGCGACATACAGAAAGTCGATCATCGAGACGCCTCTTGTGCCCGTGGACCACTCCTCCCGTCCCGTTCGCAAACTCGAGCTCTGCACATGTTATCGTAACCGCGACATCCTTGACTGGCTCACAGCATGCACGCAGCTGGAGATCGTGAATATCGGACTCGTTCTGAACCGGGACGACCGGAACCCAGACGACATGTATACCTTCAGCGCCCCGGAACTCCGACAGGCGCTATTACCGTTCCAGACAACTCTCCAGAAACTCCATCTGGGCGCTGTTTCCTGGCGGCGTAATGACCCCGAGGCACGAGAGTTGATCGATTCTCCCGGACCAATGGGGTCATTGAAAGAATTCACAGTCCTTCGGGATCTTAAACTGCCATATGCTCACCTCTTGAGACCATCATCCACCTCCGTTGAAGTGAGAGAGCATCTGCAGCTACTTGACATCCTTCCTGTGTCTATCCGAACCTTATCGATTACAGATATTGTAGAGGACGATTTTCACAACCTCCTGCTGGAGCTTTTGGGACTATTGCAGCAGCAAGCTTCTTCCTTCCCTCCGTTTTATAAGCTTGAAAGAATCCAGTTCTACGTTGAGAAGGACATCGACGAGACCTCATTCGATCTATTGATACGTGCCTGTGATCCCGCTGGTATTGTCTTGGCTGTTGAGGTGACTCCCGTGGAGATATCGACTTATAGAAACGTAATCAATTTTTAAACCCAGAGTTGCTTACTGTCTTTCTCGTGACGATTCAAAGCATGTACATACATACATACATACCTGAGGTTGGATCAGATATCTTGGAGATAAACATTGTTCTATTCAGTAGTTTGCCACCGATCATCCGTAGCCTGAGAACCTCTTTCATTTCTTTATGATATCTGATTCAGTGCCTTAAACTTGTTTGTAGACTTATTATGTGCCATGGCTTGACTACCAAGCTGCGAGATTGCTTTACTATACCATCAGGAGAAAACATTTGAAAATTTCATTTATTTTTAATTAATTGATTTGAGAATGCCCGGGCTCTAACATGTATGTTGTATGTATGCGGGGTGTCTTCTCTTCCTAGAGGTGGTCGAGTGTATAGGGAAGAATGATGTCAATGATATCAATGTGAGAAAAGAGAAAAGAAAGAGAGACCCAAACAGACAAAAAAACAAGAACCGACAACCTAAAAAAAAAAAAACTTTAGATGAAGGGTATCTAACTAGCATCTGCATTCAAATGGGAGGGAGAACAAAGATCCAGCACAAAATGCCCACAGGAGAATGAATATATGCAAAAGAAGAATTGAAAATATGAACGAAATCCACCAAAGGGGATAAGAATGCTCGCTAATGTGCGCTGGGAGAGAGCAAGAAGAGGATAAAAAGCCGGTATAGAGTAGCCGGAATGATGAGAAAAAGTAACTCCCTGTAAGTGCAAAAGATATCCCGACCCGTATGCATGATGAAAATGTGCCAACGCTTTTGATATCGGACTCGAATGGACCAAACCGAGAACCCCGAGACGAACGGCAGAACGCCAATGCAAATAACAAAAAAGATGGCAAATGGAACAAGGAAGAAAGAAAGTCGAAGGAAATATGAAACGGCGGAAAAGAAGTAACGAAAAGATAGGTCGTTTGTCTATCACCGGTTTCCGAGACCGCGGAGAGCGATCCGCTTGCTAGAACCGGCTTTTCCAAGGTCACTGATACTTCTGGACTTGGGTAAAGACAAGGGTTTGGGGGCGAGTTGTTCTTGTTCTTGGGGCGGTAGACCATATGTGAATGGCCGCAAGGACGAGCTTCGCCGGGCCTGTCCGAGAACATCCTCCACCCATGCCTCACTTTCCGGCGTCATAGAAACTTGTCTAGACCGAGGTTTGGGCCCTGCGAGACCAAGCGGGATAGAGTGAGAGCTACCACCGATGGTGGTGGAAGGAGATGACCCGTGACGGATCTCACTCACACAGGACGTCGCGCCAAAGGAAGCGTTAGAGGAAGCCGACAGTCTTCTGCGAGAGACCATGGACTTGGGAGAGACCGAGACGTTCAGAGCCTCGCCAGCGCTGGCTGCCCTGAAGTCGGTCATATCTGAGACATTCGAAGCCCGTCGTGTTTTGCGAACCGCCAACGAGGAGGACGGTCTATTGCTCATGACAGACCGCGGTCGAGACGGGGTGGTTCGGCCGTTGCTAGCAGGTGTTAATCGGCTTCCGGGCGGCGAGTAACTTGGCGTGGATTCACGAGATGAGAGGCCCTGAACCTCAACGAGTGGCGTTTCGGAGACGTGTCGGCGTCCATGGTGCATAGCATATTCTCTCAGGTACTCAGCCAGATCGGCCCAGCCACCCCCAACTCGTACCATCACCCGCTCTCCGTGTTCTCCGACAGAGCGAACAAAGAGTTTGGTCGGAGCAGATTTCCCACCTCGATGCAAATGGTATAGCTTCACAGAGCTTTCCTCTGGAGCATGCGCATGCGAGTATCTTCTGCGAGAAGGCGCGGGCGTTAGGGTTAGAGACGGAGTGGGTATGCCACTGCGCGAGGCCATGCCTTGCGGGGATACAGAACGAAAACGCTCTCTCGCCTTCATAGGCAAAGACGACATTACATCAGCATCATCGGCCTCACGCTCCTCGGCTGACATGAGATGAATTCGCGTTGGGAGGTTAGTGAGAATGGAGCTGATTTTCTCATCCAAGTAGTCCTTAGGTTTCCTTAATTGACTGATTGGAGTAGAAGATCGAGATCCTGGTTTGGAGCTCACCGAGGCCTTTTCGACAAGGGGCTTCGACTTGTAAGCACCAATGCTTTCAAGACTGGGGTGCGCAGTCAACGTCTTCCGCAACCGAGTCGTCGTCTGGTGTGCGGCAGGCTCTGTTCCCAGAACCTTTTGATTCGAGCTTTTGACGAAAGACTTCTTGTTCTGTTCTCGGGTCTTTACGACCCTTCCCATAGGTGCAGTCGGTTCTGGCGTAGAGCTTTCTTCCCGAGAATTTGCAGGTTGCTGGCCAGAAGACCGGCGTGCGTTCTTTCCAGGCGCGGGCCATCGATCACTGCGCGACCGTCCTGTCGCTGCTCGCCGATCATTTCTGGGAGTGGCATCGACAGGTGGGCTCGCGGTTCTTGGGGTATGAGCCGCATCATCGACCTCGACTGTAGGCTCGTTCTCAAAGTCCAATTCTAGTCTCTCGTTGATGAACCGCTGCAAGGGAAGACTTAGGGTGCGGTTGTGATTAACGGCCAAGCGTGGAGATGCCTTCGCGCTAGCCAAACGAAAGAGACGGTCTTCCCGCAGAGTGTGGTCATTGTTGGAAGGCATGGGGCCAGGTGCGCGATACTGAGGCTGAAACTGAGGAGGGGTCTCGAGGAAGCGAGGTGTTCCGTTGGACGAGCCAGTTCGTGGTTCACGAATCTCGGGACTAGAGATGAGAGACGGGTAGTCCGTCTCAGAGAAGGACCCAGCAGAAACATTAGACGCTCGTCGACCAGGTTGCGCTTTGTCTTTGTCAAGCTCTAAGCGTCCGGGTCGACTCTTGGAGAGTTTGATCGGACTCTCCAAAGGTTGCTTGGGTGAGCTGTCCTCGGATTCACGTGTTACGAGGTCTTGGTCATTATCAGGCAACGCAGTGGGCTTGTGAGACATCGACAGAGGGCTGGCCGTTTGAGACAAGGCCACTGGAGCACGCTTGATCACCACCGACTCGGGGGTCCTAGAAACAGAACGCTGAGTTGGGGCGCTGGGAGACGAGATTTCTTCGCGCTCGACTGGTGAGGTAGATGGTCGATCGAGATGGTCGCTAGGGTTTGCGGTGTTCTTGTTATTCTCCGAGGTATCAGCTGGGGTCATTTCTGGCTCTTGGTTTGGAGAAGGCAGATCATCAGCCACTGGGGTTGAACTCAGAGGGGCGATGTTTTCATCCTTCTCCTGCATTGTCGAGATTTCTGATGGTTGAAGGGGTCCGGGAAGCGACGATGAACTTGACTCATCACTGTGAGCCAGCGATTGTTCTGTCTCGACAGTAGTACTCTCCGGAACAGAAGACTCCTTCGTGTCGACAACATTCTGAGGTAGGTTTTCTTCCATGCGTACATCCTCAAGAGCTGGCGAAACAACTTTCTCTTCTTTCAAAGGAGGTAGTTCCGTCATTTCAGGGGCACGTGGGAGTTCTTCCAGTTGTTCCCCATCCACAACAACTTCCTCGGTCTGCTTCTGTACGGTGGGTGTTGGCAGATCATCGCCGAGGGCCTCATCGGTAGGCTCTTCCGGTGTGGATGAAGAGCTGAGCACTTGATCTTCCTCTGCTTGAATAACGGTAGGTTCTGAGTCGAGCGGAGATTCTTCATGGACTGACGGTACCGTTTCATGAGCGCCAGAAGTAGTAGCGGGAATGACTTCGTCGATCTGGGGCATGGAAGGAAGCTGGTCGTCCTTGTTGGCGTTGGAAAATACGGATCCAAGGGGACTCCCGGGTTCCTCCTGAATGGTCTCCATCGCCAGGGAATGACCAGCTGTACAGATAGGCTCGGGTTGACTAACGACAGGCTCCGGAGAAGAATGATTAGACGATGTCGCTTGCGCCTCTTCTTTCTTAGCGTTCATCATGCGCTGCCATTCGTTTGCGACGGTGCGTTGCTCGGCTTCCATAACCCAAGACCCGAAACCCGACTCGATGGCTTCCAGATCGTCGATCCAGTCTTCAGGGAGAGAATCCTCGCGGCCCTCCAGTGCATCGAGCATACGATCCATTCTACGGCCGGCCGAGAGGACGGTGGCCTCCAATTGGGCGCGCTTGGCATGGTAGTTGACCCTGGAATACAGGGCATCAGTTTCGGTCGGGATCTCGGGTGATTTGAGCAATGCCAGGGCGGCATCTAACTCCGAGCGAGCAAGGGACAAGCTGCGCAGCAAGCCGGAGACCTGGCGGAGGACTAATAATCGAACATCCCAGGTGGACAGGAGACTGTTGAGGCGGGAGAGCAGAGGGAGGGCACGGAGAATTGTGGCGGTGATCACCGCAGTGAAATCGCTTAGTTGGTTGTAGCTGAGGGGCGGGGGCACGGACATCGTACTATTGGATGACGAGGGCCGAGACCGCGATGGAATGTGGGCATTTAACACATGCTCTTTGAGTTCATCGACGTCCAACCCGTCCATTCCATCCCGAATCTCCTCGATGCGTTTCTCATGCTGTACCACGACAGCGGCGGGTAGACTGCCATAATGCTCCGGCACGGGTGGAGCAGTCGACGCGGGGGGTGAGGGGGGAACGAACCCCTTTCCCAGATGGACGTCGGTGCGTTTCGGCCAATCCCACGTCTGGATCTCTTTGTACCAGAGACTCAGATTCTGCGCCGCGATAGCAGCGCGAATACCGAGAGCTCGTTCCGCTTGAGACACCTGCGAGATGCTTTTGGAGAGAATGTCGTGGGCAGCTTGTTCGTTCGTGAGGACGGCGTCGGTCGAGGAGAGGGCCTTCAGGGTGGATTCGGGGGACAAATTTCGAAGTAGGGGATCGGTCGTTTGGTAATTCGGGAGGGCGCGTCGGTTTGGAGAGGGCGTGCGTGGATTGGGAAGCGCTGGGGGGTCCGTGGGGGTCAGGCGAACGGGCGGCCGAACGGGGCTGACGCGACTGGTGGCCATCTCGGACATGCGAACGGCCACCTTCCGGGAGAACAGGTAATCTCACGGGAGAGAGAGGACAACGGTGTGATCAATAACGCGATTTTCGAGACGGAGGTCGAGCAGCGGTATCAGACATGGGAAAGAGAGAGTACCGCTGGAAAGTGAGCATGCTGGGGGGACGCGAAGTCGCAAACGCACGGGAGGGGGGGGGACGATGCGTTGTCGATATAGTCGAATGGCTAGCGAAAGGATGCGACAACGAAGAGAGGAGAGTTCAGGCGCAGAGAGAAATGAGAGAGCGAAATGCAGACAGAAAGTTGGGTCCGAGGGAGGTAGAATAAAAGAGTGAACGGACGGCAAAGTGATGTAGAGAAAGGATGGAGAGGGAAGGGAAATGATAGATCACACAATCAAATGAAAGGCTGGGTGTGGGATGGGACAGTTGGGTGGCTGCGGAGTGCCAAACGAGCGTGGGCTGACGAGGAGTACGTTGTCCGTCAGTACTCGACAGTGGGAGATAACGATAGGATAGGGATGGATGGTTATTTGTGGGTGCTGGCGAAAGATGCAGCCGTGAGTTGGTAGATGTCGATGGCGGATGGTTAGTCCATGATGGAGAGAGAAGGAGAGGAGAGAGTCGGAGGCGCGCGGTTGTCGGTGGAGCCGCTCTAAAAGGGGCTGCCCTGCGCTATTCTTATACTTCTTTTTTTTTTTTTTTGTTTTTAATTCCCTTTAATTGTCCATTGATGGAGTTCGGTCACTCTCCAGTCTTGCAGATTAATCTCGAAATATTAAAAATTAATCTCTCAATTTACCTGCCGACTGCGTGGTGTTTCTAGAAGCCAGATCTCCCCACGTCGGGATTCCCTAGTCTTACGACTTACGAGTGCCAGCAATTCAGGTTATTTTTATGAGAGAACGGAGGAAAAGCAGGATGCCAATCATGCAGTCGCGCCCATCAAAATCGTGAGATCTGTCAGCCCAAAGTCCTCAGTGCGACCTGCATGGTCCACTTTCGGAGTGGCAGGCAGAGGGGGAGTCTTGTTTCACATCCTCCCCCCTGGTGCTACTCAATCTCTTCATTTTTATTATTTTCAGAATCGGTCTTTGCTCTCTGCAAGTGAAAGGGACCCGCTCCAGCCCCTGGTCCAACTGGTCCATCGAGTCCGTCGCCATGTCAGTTCGCCGGGAGACCGCGACTAGACTCCGTCCTCCTCCACACGTCGGTTTGGTTTGGTTTTGTTTTTTTTTTTCTTTTCTTTTCTTTTCTGTAGCTCCAATTCTTCATATGTAGCTTTTGTCCCCTCTTGGAATTGCTCTGGCACATTGCGCAGTGGGATGATGATCTATGATCGACTCCCCCCTTGCAGATTGACCCAAAGTCACCGTTCACCTTCAACATGCGCGTACACAGCCACACAGGAAGATCTTTGTACTCCCCGTGGAGAGGAACCGCGGCATTCCGGCTTATCCACCGTGTCTTTCCTTAGCTTCCTCTCGCTAGCCGTGGCTCTAGCTGAGCAAGCTCCATAGCTAGTTTTCCATCGTGTCTGGAACGGGTTTGGCGTCGAGGTAACTATTGATTCTTCGGTCCTCATTCGGTCGAAGGGCTGTTCTTGCCGCAGGTCTCCGTCAGTTTATTATTAATATCTTTTCCGGAAGAAAGACACGAAACGAGGGATGGGGTCTGAGCGTTGAAGCTGCCCTACCGCCGGCATCCCTCGTCGTCCTGTGCTCGCGACCTCCGATCTGAAACCTTCACAGGCCAATGCTCGTCACACCCGCTAATCCAATCCCTCGCAGGGGGCAAGGGACATTTCTCCTTCTACGAGATACCCTAGATACCCTACCGGCGCAGTGCCGAGATGGTTTGGCGCTCAAATCAAAACAGAGCAAGTTGAACCAGATAATATCAACACGGCTTGAGCTTTAAACTTTCGATAAATGGTGAATTTTGCTTTGGGTTTATCGGACTTCTCTTCCGACATGATGATAGCCAAAGGCAATTCGATAGCAGAAACCTTGCGCCTGCTTATGTTGTGCTAATATCCCGTGCACCGAACATTCTTCGGACGCAACTGTTGTAGAACTGGACTTGAGGCCTTGCTTAAGAGCACGGAGCAAGAAGTCGTGATGATTCGAGCTGGAAGTAATACGTACCATGGGGGTCTCGACAACACTGCCTCCGCGTCAACCGCGTCGCATCCCCTACCTACTACCAAGGCGAACCAGGTCCCTTGATTTGATTCCAAGGAACGTCGGTCAAGATCATGACGCTGCTTAATGGACGTGGATGAACTCACTGACTCAGCAGATCCCGAAGTGCAGATGATTGAGATCTGGCCATCATTTCGATGCTTTATGCATAGCGAAGTCATTATTTCAAATCTCGAACTTAGTCAACGAGTACAGAGTGCGAGGATATTCAGGGAATTATGCAGGTACAGTCAACGACTGCTGGTATTAAAATTAAAGATAATACTCGAGTATCTGTAGTCTACAATTATATAGCTTTTATTCTTTTAACCTAAGCTATCTATAACAGAGATAATTTATAGCCCAATAACTCTACCTAGAAAAAGAAAGCCTATCTCTTTAGACAAAAATACATAAGAGCTCTTGATTTTATGCAGTGTAATACGAAATTAATTCTGGTCTAGTTAGAGAAGATGTCATGATTATATTTACTACTTCTAGGAAAGTGCTAAGACCGCCATCAGTGCCTTAACACTTCCAACACTTACCAGAGAAATTTGAGAGACTTGCCTTACATTCTCATATTATTGAAGATTCCCATCATATTGAAGGAGAAAAGGCCATGGGATTTTGCCAAATGCAGACTCAATTCCCGATGACGTCGAAAAGCATCCCCTCAACGGTAACCCCAGGAGCAAACGACGTAACGATTCATCGATGATCTTAGGGCCACCAGGGTGAATGGCCCAACCGCTTCGGACACCCCGCGTGGATGGGTGTCGAGGTCTACCCGGTGAAAGAGAACCTGATAGACGGTTTTAAACAGCACGAGACCGAGGACTCGGTGATGATAGTAGATATCGAGGGCAACTATGGACACGACCTTGAGGAGTTCGGTCGCACGCAACCCGAAGCGCCAGGACGTCTAGTCCTAGAGGATTTGCCGCGTATTCTAGAGAAGATCACGGACCTCCAGGACGACATCAAGAGGGTCCCGTACGGCTTTTTGACTCCACAGCCATCAAGGGCGCCCGAGCATACTATACTCATCAGATTCTGCACGACTACCCGGACGACAAATGCGTTCAGATCAAGAGCAGATCAAGAGCGCCATGGAGCCGTGTTATAGCAAGTTTCTGACCAACGAGCACATCATCCCCCCAATGGGTGCTAATTGGGAGGCCACCTATTTAGACCTGTATATGATGGTTTTATTAAGTGCCAGGGAGCGAACTGAAAAGGACTGGCGGAATCTCCTCGAGAAGCGGTGTGGCCTGAGGATCTGCAATTTTTGGAGTCCTGGCAGCGGCGTGAAGGGAATTATCGAGTGTGAAGTATCTGTTTAGATTCCGAGCGGATTTGCTTATGCGGATTCGATATCTGGACGATATTTTTATAGACGCTCATTTTGGGCTTAGAGAATTGTTTCTCATAAGATTTGCTGCCAATCAACTAGAAATTGATAGTCACGCTACCTGCGTATCTGTGAGTCTACTACGGGTACTTACTATATCTAAAAAGGTAGTGATTTAGCGAAGAAAGGAGGGTAAGATGTTTATCAAAAAAAAAAAAAAAAAAAAACTGTGTAAGTAGGAAGTATACCAGACAGTAATATTACCCGATTAGTCCTAGGCCCATCATGTGACCGTCACCATTGTGATTCCATTGAATTCAATGCAAAGCAATGCCTCGACATCGACCCTCGAACCTTCTAGATCATCTCATCAACCGTGGATTCCCGTAGCTCGACCCTAAAATGCGGTTTCGAACCCAACTAGTCAATATAGCCACCTTCTCTAGTGAGTCCCTTCGTCTGTCTCGCGAGCATCGCGTTTCCACGCGCCATACCGCGTCGCCAACCAATGAATGATATCATTCCTATCAATCCCCACGCTAACCTTGTAAACAACTTCATTCTTGAATTGAAAAGAATTGACCGCTTCGCTTTCATCTCTGGGGAAAGTATGCTGGATGCGACTGGAAGATGGTGTCGTTCGATTCACCATCATTCCTGATCAGGGAACCCAAGTCTGGGCTCAGATGCCTGTGGTATGTTATTTTATGTTGTGTTACTGCTTACTCTACATGCATATACTTCTCCTACATTATACTACATCCCATTCATTCATCACCCAGAAACGAATCCCCAGGAGCTAGCTAACAAACCCCCAGGACTCCATCTTCGACCCCGAAACCTACATCCTAGAATCCAACTCCGGCATCATCAACCTCGAAGTCCCCGTCGGCGCCCTGCATCGCGCCCTCCGCTCCGCCACCGCCGCTTCGTCCGCCCAGATCCGTCTCACTAAGAAAGGCAACATCCCCCTCCTCGCACTAACCATCCACGTCTCCTCCTGGACCAACGGCTCCAACGCCCTCGGCATCGGCGAGGAGCCCCGGACCGGGGCCTCCAACCCGCCATCCGGACCGCGCGAACGCGAAACCGTCATCACGCAAGAAGTGCCCGTGAAGATGCTGCACCAGACAGCGGTGGACGGGCTCCATGAGCCACGATGCAGAGATCCAGATGTGAATATCATTCTGCCGAGTCTGGCGCAGCTGAAGAGTATCTCGGAGCGGTTTACGCGGCTGGCGACGGAGACTTCAACTAATACTACTAATAAGGGTTCGTCGGGTGGTGGGGGGCTACTTAATGGGTCCGGGGGTGGTGGTGCGTCGTCGTCGTCGGCGAAATTGGAGTTGTCGGCTAATATGCACGGGTCGTTGCGGTTGGCCATCGCGACGGATGCGTTGCGGATCTCGAGTGTCTGGACCGATTTGGTCAATCCGGCGCTGGATCCGAGTCAACTGTCGCAGACGGAGATCGAGCAGTTGCCGAGTGAGAGGATGCGGGCGATCGCGGACGATGACGAGGCGGGGTGGGCGAAGGTGAGGATTGATGGGAAGGATTGGGGTCGCGTGTTGAGTGTTGGGAGATTGAGTCCGAAGGTGGTTGCTTGTAAGTCTCTTTTCCCTTTTTTATTTTGTCACTCTTGGCTCTCTTTCAGACGTATGGATGGAATGGATCGTTGTGCTGATTGACCTACAAGGTTTTGTTCATGAGACTGCGTTGATTCTCTACGTATATCTCCCGGGGAGCTGGAATGGAGAAGATTCCTGTCTAACGGTAAGTCGTGAATGTCAAACTTGCTTGACAGTCACTCAGGACCGGTTGCTAATGTTTGCAGTACTATATCAACTCTTACGCGTCTTGATATAGTTGAGAAAAGGGTTGGACCCAGTTACGAAAATTTCACGAATCTAGAACTACATTGTATGATTAAAATCTGTAAATAAATCATGAAAATAGGTGTTGCCATGATGGCATTATTAAGTGATATTAAACCGTGCGCATATTTCAAGCCATGCTTCGTAAAACAGAAGAATCCACAAGAATCGTGTCCCAAATGAAAATCAAAGTGGTCAAGACAAAGGAGATGAAAAAAGCAACACAACACAAGGGAAGAAGAATAAAAAACATATGTAATGCAAACATATAAAGTACATGAAGGGGGAAAGTCAAGCAAGAAGACCCAAAGAAAGGCCGTGGTTCCTTCAGGGAAACACGGTATGCAAGACTTTTCGCAAAGGTTCAAGAATTCTATAGTCGGGATTAAAAGTCCAGATTCAATGTTGAATGCGCGAGGGAGGTGCAAGAAAAGAGGTATCGTAACGCACTCAATGAAAGATCTGGAGAAGAATGGTCCAATCACTCAAACATCATCAATCTACCTTATTTGGCCATCACGTCAACATACCTACCCTTCTTTTTACCCTTAGCACCAGCGCCCTTACGCGCCGTTGGGGCTCCGAGAAGGTCATCGATTGAGCTGGCGTTGCTCAACGAAGTAGCAGGACGAGGTGGCAACCCGAGGGCACTGCCTGGTGGAGTGGGGACAGCGGCACCAGTGGAGACTGAGCGAGTGGTCGCCCCGAGTAACGGAGGTGGAACCCCGAGCATTGGCGGCGCCGGACTGCCGGTTGATGACGGCGGAATAGGAGCACCTGCGGACGACGAAGGCCGGCTGTCTAAGCCAGGAGTGCCAGTCGGGGGTGGTGGTGGTGCACTGCTGCCACTCGCAGTCCGGCTGGGAGGAGCCGGTCCTTTCGGCGGCGGCGGAGCGCCCCGAGTCACTGTACTGCTGTTGGGATCCTTCTTGTTGACCCATTTCTTCAAATCCTTGTCGTAATAGAATGAGTTCTCTTCACCAAGCTTGGCCCGGATAGGTCCTTGGCTTTGGCTGCCGATGTTTTCTTCCTTCTTGGCACCGCCGAACCATCCACCGAACCACGACTTCTTTGCGGGTGCAGGCTTTTGGGCTATAACCGATGTTCGTTAGTGGCTGAGCATAATCAATAAGCCGTAAAGAAAAACATACCGTCGGCCTCAGCAGCCTTTCTAAAAGCTTCGTCCGCTTCGCGATCCTTGCGCTCCTTCTCAGCCTTCTGCATGGCAGCTGAACGGGCTGCAAAGTCATCATCGTCATCATCATCCATAAAAGACTTCTTCTTCTGGATAGTGTGTTCACCCTGAATGTCCTCGGCGGGTTCGGGCATCAAGTGCGCACTGTTGTCCGAGAAGGGTGGCTCGTAACCACCAGCACTGGGTGGCATGTAGCCAGTCGCACTTGGTTCGGATACTGTAGTTGATGGCTGTGTGAGAGACGGACCGAAGGCAAGGTTGTCGGCTGGCTGATAACCGGTAACTTGCATCGGAGACCCTTGCATTGGTGCCGAGTAGGAATGAGGGACAGAGTCTTCTTCGACAGGGGCAAGAGGCATGTGTGAGGTCTGCGGGGGCGTTCCCTGGTAGCCAGCGACAGGTGGTGAGTTGTAGAAGGGCCCTCCTTGGTACAGATTGTTGTCGATAGGTGTCGAGGGTTCCTGGGAGCCACGTCGGCCCAACGGGTACCCATACGATGAAGATCTTTGGGAGTCAAGAGACGACCTTCCACGCAATTGTTCCGGCGATGAATTGGGCGCATACTGGTTGGTCGGCTGGTATCGCGTTGGACCGCTTGGGGCGACTGGCTGCGCTGCAGGTGCATAGGGCCCGTACAGGTCTGACATTGAAGGTGACCGGCTAATGGTTGGCGTCCCAGCTAGCTTAGCGAAGGGTCCAACATCCGCATCCCCGGCCTTTCCGGATCCCGTCGAGGCTGCATCACTGTCTTCGCCGGAGACGAAGCTGTTGAACTTGGCCCACATAGAGCCAGATACCTTCTCCATGCTTGGTTTGGAAATCCACGAGGATCCTCCTTCATGCGTGGTCTGTCTAAGGCGGCCCGAGAGTTCATCCACCCCAAAGTATAAGTGCTGGTGGTGGTAAGCGGAAGGCTTTGTGCTAGCCTTCAGTGCCGCCGCGATTCCGTCGCAGTACTGCTGAGCCTCAGACTTGCGACCACGCTCGGCAAGGGACCAGGCATATATTAATTTGTATGCTAAAAGATGGGGCATCGCAGCCGTGGGGGCGCCTGCAAGGACGGTGATGGCATACTCGTATGCCTCCGTAAGTAGGATAGAATCGTCATCGCGCAGGACATTGGATGGGAAGTGTTGATGATCAGCCCCCAGTAAGACAACACTTGCCTGTGGGTCATCGGCACCGCCAAACACAGCGGCTTTCGAGAAAATGAAGCATATATGAGCAGCCTCGACACGACCATAAGAGAGCAGCAAACGACCCAGAGCCAATAAGGCCTGGTGGTCATCGGGACTACGGTTACTGAGCACTAGGCCAAGAGTCTCTTTCCAACTGTTGAGGCCATCCAGAGCATTCTTAGAGGTACTTTGACCCTCCGTTTTGCTGACCATTTGCAGTCCGGCTCGGGCTGATGGCGGGACAAGTTCATCAATGCTCTCCTCGACATTACCCGCAAATATCTCATAGAGTGCTGCGATCGGTTCGGTATTGCTGGTCGCCGATCTCACTTCACGTCTCACAAACTCCTGAGCAACCTGTTTCCAGACAGATCTATCCAGTGTCGATGCTACTATCATGGCATGGCCCCATAGTCGGTGATCCACTGCGGTCCATACGGCCTTTTCTCGGTCACCCATCAGAAGACAGCTGCGAAGACTCTCTAACGATTGAGTGTCAACCGAATCGGGTCGAGAGGCTGCATCCATTGACTGTGGGGCACCGAAAGTAGGAAATCCACCACCGTAGGTCTGCTGCTCAGCCTCGGCAGTTTGCAAATGGGGGAAAATTACATTGCGCAAGGCTTTTTGACTCTCAGCTGAGGCCTGCAAGTTCCCGTCATGTTCGACCAGAACCTTAACTATCTTCCACAGCAAGATCTTTTCATCGTGGCGTTTGTGAGAGTCGGGATGGAGTTGCGCTGCTTCCGAGATCTCTTCGTTCTCGAATGCCACCACCTTGCTAGAAAGCCAAGCGAGCAGGTCTTTTTTCTTGGACTTGGCCTTCAAAGAACCTGGGTGTTGCACAATGCTTTCTGGAACAGGAATCCATTCGTTGAATTGATGGATTTGAACCTCGCCCGGGCTGGGTTTGATCTTCGGGACCACTTGTCCAGCAGTATACCTCGGTACATGCTTGGGGAAACACGTGGTTATGGAGCCCCCGAATCCAAATTTGACGATAGGGGCTCCCCTCCACCGTTCGAGGGGATCAAATTGTTGTCCATCTTCAGGTGGAATAAATTCGAGCGTTTGGGAAGAAACGCGATTGTGAACAGAGACTTGCGAAGGTGCGTAAGGACTAGCAGTCTTCGTCGGGGACCCAGAGCCATGCACGGAGGCGGGACGTTGTAGAGGATCAATTGAGGGGACAGACAACCTAGGGCCACCCAATTGTTGACCAGGAGACTGAGTTTGCGATCTGCGAGGGGGCGCGTATGGGGAATCACCGGCCGGCGGTGCGGAGGACGATAAGCTGCTGACTGGGGGCGCCGGTCCAGACAAAAGATCATTGCTATGTTCGGTTGGAGCAAAAGGATTTCTGGGAGGCGAGACAGGTTGATAAATGGACGGGATGCGCTCAGGACTAGCCACTTTAATGGGACTCGAAGCCACAGCATCATGGGGCGGAGGAATAGAACGTGTGCTCTCCTGCTCTTGCGACGGCAGCTGCACGTCATTAGAAAGAACATGATTTGGTGCTGGTTCCATAAACGACTGCGACGCGGGGCCCTCCCTAGGCTGATACGACACCTTCTCGTGATAAGCTAGAGGACTTGATGTGCGTGGTTGGAATGGCAGGGTAATTGAGGGCTCCGGCCCACTCGAGTGTTGCGAGGCATATCGATTCTTAGGAGGAGGGCCAGTGGGTTGAGGTGGCGCAGGGGAGTATCTAGGTGGCGGCGGAGCGGAGCTAGCTCCAGCATTCAACGTAGGAGGCTTGGGTGAGTATCTCGATGCAGCACTAGGAACGCCTTGTGTACTTGGGGGGGCAGGTGCCAAAAGATTTGCGTATGGCTCCATTCGTTCCGGTGATTGCAGCGGAGGCTGGGGGTCGACTGTACCAGGCTGTTGCAGGGCAGCAGAAAGATTGCCATATTGATTTCCTTGCGGAGGGGGGGGCGGGTTTGACGGTGGTGCAGTCGCTGTATTGACTGGAGTATAGCGCCCTGAGGTCGCAGGTCTTGAACGTGGCACGGGGGGTGGCAAAGGAAGTTCTTCATAGAAGTTCTTGGGCGGTGCGGCCGTCGTACTAGGCGATGTCCCAAGTGGAGGCGTCGCTAGAGTCGATGCTGGGGGAGGAGGCATTGGCATACTACTGCTCCGGACAGGCGGTGGCGGCGTGTTACCTCCCGGTACAACAAGGGGCTTATGACTGGCAGCGGGCCTACGAGGCCGAGCAAGGTCGTCGGGGAGATCGTAGGGAGATTTGTACCCCTGCTTAGATCGTTCAGCAAAGCTCGGTGCTTTGCTTCCGGACAAATTTGGCTGAGACTGTTGTGCAAAGTAGTTCGACGGGGCTCCACCTATTTGCGGCGGCAGTCCTTGGAGCAGGTCCGATGTAGAAGGTTGGTGTGGTGTATAGGCAGCAGACTGCATAACGGGGGCCGCAGGATTTTGTAGAGGTTGATAAGGGCCCGCCGGGGCAGCTTCCTGGACAACTCCGTTGATGCCTTGGGGGTTTGCTCCCGGAACAGTAGCTAGATTCTCGGCCACTTCATCCCCTAAAAGTAGATCGTCATCATCGTCCAGTTCTGCTTGCCATCGTGCGGCCAGATCGTCTTCGGGAACTTTTTCTGTCTCCAGCGGATCATCCGACAGTTCAGCCTGCCAGCGAGCGGCCAAATCATCGTCAGACGATACACCTTTGGCCTGGTCCTCCGGTACAATCTCCGGGACAGCGTGATTCTCCGAAGCAGCGGCCGCCAGAATGTTGCTGAACTCTTGAGCGGTCGGTGACGTGTCGCTGGCCGGGGAGTAGGGAGGAACATCTAGAGAGTCGAGTACTTGGGTCGTGCTCTTCCGAGTGATGTGCAACGATCGGGGAGGTTCATTCACGGGCTCGGGCTTCTGAATCTCATTAAAGAACGCGTCCCCCTCCTGGTCTTCGTCATCGCCAACAAAAACATTATCGATTGGACTTTGTTGCTGTAATGGTTCCTCAACCGGAGATTGCACTGAGTCGTCCAGGAGTGGAACGCCCTCTTCATATCTAGACTCGGTTTCTGGCGGAATATAAATCGGCTTGGTTTGCGTCTTGAGTTGGTCGAAGAAGTCATCCCCGGCGTCATCATTTGAGGGGTTCTCCCAGAAGCCTCGGTCTTCGCCATCAATGGCTCCATTCGTACTGATAGGAAATTCCTGGTTTTCGGACTCATTGGGCCAAGGCGAACTGTTGTCATCCTCGAAGAAATTGGGGTTGTGATCCGCCGTCTGGAAGGGGTCCTCGGTTGTTGGGGGGAAAGCAGCCTGTACATCTTCAACTTCGTGTTGCGGCTCATGCACACTATCTAGGTCACCGACAGGCTCGAGAGTTTGGACAGGTTCATGGTCATGAAACTGCGATGCCGCCGACTCGTCACCATTGATCTGGGGCTCTTCCAGTGTTTCGGCCAGGTTCGAATCCTCAAATACAGGCGGGAAAGAGTTGGAGTCAGTCGTATCTGGGGTGACCTTATCTGGCGGATCTATCGATGGGATGGGTTCGGGTACTGTAGGTTCAACGGAAGCATCGGCTTGCTCGAGGGCGACAGGCGCGTCCACCTGCTCGGGAATAACCTCTGGTGTCGGGTCTGTCGGGGTGACCTCCGCGTCGAGGTGTGTCGCGGCCAGATCATTGTTATCGTCCGGTCTGAGGGCCGGATTCCACGCGACCGATTCGCCGTTGTGTGCCATGTTGGAATAATATCAGTTCTTTGTCGACAGAGCAGAGCATTAGTATCGAATAGCGAATCGGACACGTTTCGGGAGGTACTCACCCTGCTGACCGATGCGACTGGCAAGGGTTGGATTAATTAACGAGGCATGGAAGGGAAATTAACTATATAGAATAATAAGAGTGCCAAGTAGAAAAAGAAAAAACATCACAAGAAAAGGATGAAGTTTAAAGGATCATAACAGCGTATGAAGAACCCCGATGCGACGAGAGAGAAGGTGACGAGGAAAGGAAAAAGCCAGCAACCTGCTAAGTTGGTGGCGGCGGATGGCCTGGATAAGTTGCAGATGATGACCGGCAAAGTAAACGAAGTAAAGCGCCCGTCGAATCTCCGGACTTTTCCCTTGGAACGCGCCCCGTCATCTTCTCGGCCTCGGTCCATCGTTGCTCCGGCGGAAGGGCCACCTATCCCGTTCCTCGATCACGTGTGCCTGCATTCTGCCGGTGATCGCATCGCCGCCTGACAGCCACAGCCACATCTAGCCTCCAGGCATCCTTCTGCCAATTGCTTGGTCAACGGCCACTCTCCCTCGGATTCCAGCACATTATCTCACCACCCTTCATAGATACTTGCTCGTCTCGACCACCACCCCTCCCGATCTTCGGGTTCAATCCCGTGTATAATCCGGACATACTACTACGACCGCCCACCCCCCTCGAACCCTCGGCAACAACAATGATCCTGCGGAGAATTGATGGATGCAGCTTATCGTGAAATGAGAACCGATTCTTGATACAGGAGCATAAGGGTCGTTTCTCTTTCGGGAGGGGCTTATTCTGAGCATCTGTAGCGCCTTCATCATGCCTTCATCACCCGATTACGTACACCCGCCCGACCAATTTAGTATTCTAGGAGACTCCGGCTCAGACGACGACCTTGACTTGGAGGAACTTGACCCCGGTACGACCTCACCTCATACGTCGCCTCGACTTTCCCGAGATGGTCTGGGTAGACAAAGAGGCCACGGTCCAGGGATAGCGCTCAGGAACCTACGCATGGGCGTCGGAAATCGAATATGGCGACAAACTTCCGGAGGTCAAAGGAGATCGGAGGACAGGGAAGGTCTTCTGGACAACCGCGACGATACCGGACTTCGGACGTCACACACCAGTTCTCGCCAATTCACCGAAGATGATGCGCCGTTGCTTAACGAACGCAGGCGGAGTTCTGCTCGATCCTTTGGAGACGCCGAGCGGGGATCGCAGAGGGGGAGTCGGTTACGGATCCCAGGCTTAAAAGCGGCTAGTATGTTGTTTGCTGCTGCAGGCCGAACGACAGCCGGTGGTGATGCCTCGCAACCGAAACCTCCCCGTGATGTCCTTGTTGGTCAGGCGCAACGATCGAAATACCCTCCGAATATCGTTTCCAACGCAAAATATACACCGTGGAGCTTCCTTCCACGTACACTCTACAACGAATTCTCCTTTTTCTTCAACATTTACTTTCTTCTCGTCGCTCTGTCGCAGATCATACCCGTGCTTCGGATAGGTTACATGTCGTCATACATCGCACCGCTCGCCTTCGTTGTCTGTATCTCTCTCGGAAAGGAAGCTTTGGATGATATCGGTCGGCGGAGAAGAGATGCCGAAGCAAATGCGGAGGCTTTCTCCGTGCTCGCTTTCGACAAGCTGCCCGGCGCAAGAGCGCTTTCGACTGCTGGAAATGTTCACTCTAATGCCGGAAATGTAATGGAAATGACTAAACGATCTCGCGACCTGAAAGTCGGCGACGTGCTGAAAATCCGCAAAAACCAGCGTTTACCGGCTGATGTGGTAATTTTGAAAAGTGTGTCCAATGACTCCGGCAATGCTCATCAAGCCTCCACCCCCAGAGCCTCTGCGGATCTCATCCAGTCAGAAGGATCATCTTCACCCTCTGCAACCCACGAAATTCCTGCCTCAAATTCCCAAACAGATAACGAAAACTTTTCGTCCGGCAGCGATACCTTTATACGAACAGATCAACTCGATGGTGAGACCGACTGGAAACTGCGCCTGCCGTCAATTCTGTCTCAGAATCTATCATTTAATGATCTTCCTAGGCTTAAGGTGACAGCAAGTGCGCCGGATAAGCAAGTCAATGAGTTTGTCGGCACCCTCGAATTGGGTCCTCCGTCCGGGTTCTATGATCCTCACGTGGATAAGACAGACGATGGGAGGGACTATGAGAATGAAGATCCAGACGCCAACTCTGCTCCTCTAACAATTGACAACACCGCCTGGGCCAACACCGTCCTCGCATCAAACACAATCACCTATGCCGTCATCATTTACACTGGCTCGCAGACACGAGCCGCCCTTTCAACATCTCCATCTCGCTCTAAGGTAGGGTTGCTGGAGTATGAAATTAATAACCTTACCAAAATCCTATGTATCCTTACCCTCCTTCTGTCTATTGTTCTGGTCGCTCTAGAAGGATTCCAACCGACGAACGACAAAGAGTGGTATATCGCCATCATGATATACCTTATCCTGTTCTCCACGATCATTCCCATGAGCTTGCGGGTGAACCTCGACATGGCAAAATCAGTATACGGTCGTTTCATTGAACGAGATCAGGATATCCCTGATACGGTGGTGAGGACGAGTACGATACCCGAGGATCTGGGTCGTATCGAGTACTTGCTCTCCGATAAGACGGGGACCTTGACCCAAAACGGTATGTCTTTTTTGTCCACTTGCGCAGGTCGCGTTCCGATTAGCTAATCCAAGCAGAAATGGAGCTGAAAAAGATACATGTCGGGACGGTCTCATACGCCAACGACGCTATGGAAGAAGTAGTCTCGTATGTCAAGCAAAGTTTTGCTGGCTCCCTAACTACCGCTTCGGCTGTCTTTGGCGCTCAGGCTGGGGCCGCCGCTGCCGCTGCTCCTCGTACGAGGAGAGAAATTGGCTCGCGCGTCAGGGACATTGTTTTAGCCCTTGCTCTCTGTCATAATGTCACACCAACCATGGACGAAGAAGACGGGGTGAAGGTAACGAGCTACCAGGCTTCATCGCCCGATGAGATCGCCATTGTCCGATACACTGAGGAAGTTGGACTCAAACTAGCATATCGTGACCGGCAAACAATCCTTCTGGAGTCAACTCACACGGGTAATGTTGTCGTGCGCGTTCGCATCCTCGATATCTTTCCCTTTACCTCTGATAGCAAGCGGATGGGGATTATCGTACAGTTCGAAACAGAGGGTGGAATTCTAGATTCGCCCCAACAGGACAGTGAAATTTGGTTTTACCAAAAGGGTGCAGACACCGTCATGTCGACTATCGTTGCGGCAAACGACTGGCTCGACGAAGAAACCGCGAACATGGCTCGAGAGGGCCTGCGAACCCTTGTCGTGGGGCGAAAACGGCTATCTTCGCAGCAGTATCAAGAGTTCGGTGGGAAATACAAACAGGCCTCGCTGGCTCTCCAGGGACGAGACGCTGGGATGGCCAAGGTGATTGGCGAGTATCTAGAACGCGATCTAGAACTCCTGGGAGTAACGGGTGTTGAAGATCGCCTCCAGAGGGATGTCAAGCCTTCCCTGGAACTTCTTCGCAACGCCGGGGTTAAGATCTGGATGTTGACGGGCGATAAGGTGGAAACGGCGCGATGTGTGGCGATCTCTGCCAAACTGGTTGCTCGAGGCCAATATATCCACACAGTCGCCAAAGTGAAGGACAAGTCAACTGCGCAGGAAACGCTGGATTTCTTGCGCAACAAGACTGACTGCTGTCTCCTCATCGATGGCGAGTCACTAGCCCTTATGCTCAGCCAGTTCCGGTCCGCGTTCATCTCTGTTGCTGTGCTTCTCCCAGCTGTCGTCGCCTGTCGGTGCTCTCCGACCCAGAAGGCCGAAGTTGCCGACCTGATCCGGCAATACACAAAGAAGCGAGTCTGCTGTATCGGAGATGGTGGAAACGACGTGTCTATGATTCAAGCTGCCGATGTAGGAATCGGTATTGTCGGCAAAGAGGGCCGTCAGGCCTCGCTAGCGGCTGATTTCAGTATCACACAGTTCCATCACCTCACCAAGCTTCTCGTCTGGCACGGCCGCAACTCATACAAACGATCGGCCAAATTGGCCCAGTTCATCATGCACCGTGGCCTTGTTATCAGTGCCTGTCAAACCATGTACAGCATTGCCAGCCACTTCGACCCTAAGGGTCTCTTTATTAACTGGCTCATGGTCGGCTATGCCACCGTGTACACCAACGCACCGGTCTTCTCTCTCGTTTTCGACCGCGACGTCGACGAACATATGGCCAATCTCTATCCCGAATTATACAAGGAACTCAAGACCGGTCGCAGTCTCAGCTACCGCTCTTTCTTCACCTGGGTGCTCGTCTCTGTCTACCAAGGAGCCGTCATCCAGGGTCTCTCCCAGATCCTGCTCGACACTATCTCCGGACCGCGACTCATCAGTGTCTCTTTCACCGCGCTCGTTATCAACGAGCTTCTGATGGTTGCCATCGCCATCACCACCTGGCACCCGGTCATGATCTTCTGTCTTCTGGGCACCGCTCTCCTCTACGCCGGCAGCGTCCCCTTCCTCGGCAGCTACTTCGATCTGGAGTACGTCATCACCGTGGACTGGGTCTGGCGTGTGTGTGCCGTGTGTGCCGTGTCCGTCATCCCTGTTTGGGCCGGGAAATTGATCAAGCGATCCTGGAGTCCTCCCAGTTATCGGAAAGTCCGCGGTTAAAAAAGAAAAGAAAAAGAAAAAAAACCTTTTGCTTACTGTCATTTATTATGAGATTGATTGATTGGTTCATCTGGTCAGGTAAGTGTGGTGGTGTTTGGATCTGGAGCGAATGATTCCCCTTTTCTCTTTTTTTTCTTTTCTTATATATATCATCATTGCTATGCAACCGTTTCTCCCTTTCTTTCTTATTCTTCTATCTTTCTTTCATTCACTATACCTTTTTCCTTCTCTTCTTCTGCCTTGCCAAAGTTCTAAACTACTCACCGTGACTGTACTGTACTATATATCTTATCTCTTTGTGAGGGTCTATCATCTAGCCTTTTTTTTTTTTTCTATTCTCGCTTTCTGTGTGTTTATTGTTATGTCGCTTAGCATCATCATATCATCTGCTTTGGTACATGCATACATAGAACTATCTACCCATTGTTTATTAGCCATTGAAATATCATCTGTATTCGGGCATGAAATTTGACTACCTAGGGTTTTTCGTCTCGTACTCCTTACAGCAGGTTAAGTACGTGAAATGAACGGTCGCGAGAGGCGATGCGGTCAGATATATTTAGCAGATTTCAACTTCAGGCACCCGGGTTTCTATAACAGGCGGGCCATGTATAAATAGAAACGAGGTTGGGAGAATATGTCAGGTACAAGTCAAGATCGATAACAGAGGACCAGTATGAGTAGAGAAAATGATTATATTGAAAAATTGGAAATAATTAATTGTCTCCTTCTTTCCTCTCCTCTCCTCGCCTCGGCTCATCTCTTCCATACGTACATCACATAATGCATGTTATATCGTGAATATCATGAAAGGCAACACCCCGTTCATTACTGAACATCCCACCTCCTTTGTTAATGACCATGAAATGTCAAATTTCAGGATTAGGTCAAATACAACCAACGCACTCAAGACATACACCCCGATACAAGACAGGAATAACAGGACGATTTAGGAAAAGCAAAGATAAGGCTATTACTGAGGCTCGGGGGAGAACACCTTCTTGAAGCGGAAGTGACACAGGTCGCGAATCACCTCGGCCGTGCTTTTGATGTTCTGACGCACGATAACGGACGTCGGGCGCGAGAACAGCTCGTCAATCTCCTCGAGGGACTTGTTCTTAGTCTCAGGCATGAAGAAGATCTGGTAGAACCAGCCGAGGACGGCGATGCCGCCGTAGAAGCCCAGGGTGAGACCGATACGAGTCATGGAGTTCATCATGGCGGTGAAGTTGTAGGTGACGATGAAAGAGCAGAGGAAGAGGTTGGCGTCGGCGGTGGTCATGCCGTAGGATCGGAGGTAGGTGGGGAAGACTTCGGCGGGGATGACCCACGTAAGACAGGCGTAGGAGCCGAAGAAACCCATGTAGAGAATGATACCGGTCAGGTAGACACCCTCGGCAGCGGCGGGGTGCTCCTGGAAGTCGATAGTATAGCCAACGCCGACAAGAACCAAGCCGATGAAGAAGCCTGGAAGCATGGCGTTGGCCCAGTAGCGACGGCCGAACTTCTCCATGTACATGACGGCAGGGATGGCACCAATGAGTAGGGAGCCACCGCCGACCAGCGACATGAAAACACTGGTGCGTTCGTCAAAACCGATCTTAGTCATGAGAACGCCCATGTAGTACATGACGGCGTTGACACCGGTAAACTGCCCCAGGAAGATCATGACGTTGGCGTAGACCATAGCACGGCGAGCACGAGGTTCAGTAAAGAAATCCATCCAGGCATATTTCTTCGTACTCTGCTGCTCATCATACTCTGCCGTGACGGCCTGCCGCATGCCCAAGAATTCGTCCTTAGCTTCGAGCGTGTCAAAGCCGCGGATCTGCTTCCACACACCGTACGCTTCCACCGGCTTGCCCTTGTGCATAAGGAAACGCGGACTCTCGGGCAAGAAAAGCATACCCACGAAGAGTATGGTTGAGAAGACCAGAGAGGAACCAAGGATGTACCGCCAGTTACCGGTGACGTCGACAAAGATAGCGGCTACTGCATAGCCAAGAACCTCTCCCAAGGCGATGTTCAACTGATACAAGGAAACGAGGTTACCACGAATCCTTGAGGGAACTACAAAACGAAACACGTTAGCGATCAGGTTAATTGTTTGCGATAAAATGAAATCATGTTACATACCACACTCGGCAACATAGACAGGGACTGTGCCGCCCTCAAGACCGACACCCGCACCCAGGATGAAACGACCAGCAAACATCATGCCAAAGTTAATGGCGCCTGCCTCCAGGGCGGCACCGATGGTGTACAGGACACAAGAGACGATGATGGCCATGCGACGACCCAGGTACTCGTTGGCAGGCGACAGGATGAGAGCACCGGCGACAGCACCAAGCGGCATACCGGCATTGACCAGACTGCTGTCGTTGTCCGACAAATGCAGAGCACCGGGCATGAAAAGATTGGCACCACTGATCAGGGATTGATCCAGACCCGAGAGCAGACCACCCATGGAGGCAAAGGCGACAAGGATATAGGTGAAGAAGGCAGGGTTGGCGAGGGTCACCTGAAAGCGAGACTGCTTCAACTCACGAAACTGTTCCTCCAGCTGTTGGAGTTCTGCATCCATGGCCGCTTCGTTGTATTCAACAGACGCCTTCGGGTCCTTGGTGACGTCGTCCATCTCCAGGGCCGCGGGCTCCTTGTGGTCATCATGAGATGACTCGACATCTTTGAGGGAACCCATGACGAATCTCTTGTGTTGATGGGGATGGAGAAGAAATCCCTCAATAAAGGACCGAAGTGCTAACCAGCCAGTGGAGACACAGTCACGAAGGAGAGAAGAGGAAGAGAAGGTCAAAGAAGAAAGAGACAGAAAAAAAGGAAAAAGAAGAAAAAAACAAACCGGGGATACCGCTGAATTTTAAAACCCCGGATTCAAGGCGGGGTGGTAGAGAAGAGAAACATTATTGTGCAACGCCGACGTCAGGATGTCAATGATTCGCTCAAACAAGCCAACAAGACGACGGGGTCAGCCGTGGGGGAGGAGGGCACGAGAGAGAGTCAAGCGTGGTAAGGTAGAAAAAATGTAAGAGCAGCAAGGAGGGTTAGTCGCGATGCCGATCTCCACACCAACTCCGTGTTTTTCGTTCCCCGTGGAGAAAAATGTCCGTCGGTAACGGGTCGAAAAAACTCACGAGGTGCATCGGCCTTGGACCAGTCTGGAAAGCAAACCACGCCCAACTACGCCGATTCCGGGGCAATTTCGGCGAGTCTCCGGGGATATTGGGCCTTCCAAGGATCGAGCCTGGAAACCGAGACGCTCATTCGTTGCGTGGCGGGTTAAGACGGCGCCCAGAAGGCTTGGGCTCCACTGCTGGCGTGGGATGCTTTGCGATGCTTCGAAACAAACTTGCGATGTTTGGGGGGACTAGCGAATTTGATAGGATAATAGATTGGCGTGGTAGACCAGTAGAAGTTGTAGAACAGGCACTTGCGTCTTTAGTCTGGTTTTTACCCTTCCCTCGCTCTCTTTGAGTTTTGACTCTTTGGCTGCTCTCCACAACTCCGCAACTCCACACTCTTGCCCTTTTCTCCTCCCTTAGCGTCCCATGGTCTCTTGACTCTTGACTCATCCTTAATCTTTTTTCCCTGTTACCCTCGCATTCTTCCGGGAGGCATCCCGATCGGTTTTCGTACACTAGGATCCGCTCCCCCTCCGTAATATGGTGAATTGGGCCGACTATTCGGATTCTGACCGGGACTAGGGGATCGGCCCCCATGTAACCTGGCCCGTAGTCGTTCCTGCGCCGATGCTGCCCGTTCCAAAGGCTGCGCTCCCGACATGGGCTGGTAGGACCCGGCTCGCTGGCTGGGCAAGGGTCGGGCCCCCGATGGGTGCAGCATCGGCGGCGTGGGGGACTGACTCGGTGGCGTCGCCAGGGATCCAGACGGTGCGCTATTTGCCGTGGCCAGAGGGGGTCCGCTCACACCACCTCGTCCTCGTCGGAGACTTGCTGTCTGGGGTGCCGGGGGTTGTGGTGCACCCGAGTCTCCCCACAAATCACCGAGTCCTCCACCACTACTGCGGCCGTAGGTCGACGCCGCTGGTGCGCCGGCGCCAGGCTGGATCTGGGTCGTCGCAATGACGCGGGCCGGTGACGGCGTCGGCGCTTTTGGGTCGGGGGGTAGCCAGGCCGGGTATGGCCGACCCTTTTCGGTATAATAGGCCCGGAGAACGTTCGAGATGTGCGAGCAGTCCTCGTGATCGGGATCGTCCGCCTCGTCGCCCAGGGTGATAGCGCGTCGGAAAGAATTTAGCCGCGTGCCCAAATTGGAAAGCGCCGAAGACGACGTCAGAGAGGAGAACATGTTGTTGATTCTTGGTCGAAAGATGCGTCACTTCGCAGAGTGAAGTTGGTCGGTGGGTTGATCAAGAGGGGTGGGAATGTGGCGGGATGAAAAGGCGGCCACGCCCCTGGGAAGAATTGGCGGTGGCGAGAATTCGGAGACTTGAATGGACACGGTATCCCTTTGAACCGATTAGGAGAAGAGAGTCGACGTGACAGAAAGGGGGGGATTGAGGGGGGCAATTGAAGGGGGAATAAGTGAGGATGATGAACTGATGGACTGATTCAAGTTGATTAAGGGAAGGCGGCACTTCCGTCTCACCGCCGCACGTGAGCCGCGGCGTCGTTCCTTGAGTCGTTCTCTACTCCGTACACCGTTTTCCAACCGTTACAATCATTTCATGTGGAGTATCCAGAGCTCCTCGTTATGGAACTGGAAATAGACCAGTCAGAAAAAAAAAAGTCAATGCTTGATTCTAACTCCCGACGGATCTGCAGGATCGGGGTTCTATGTCAACAAATCAACTATAGACATTATGCAAGGGCCATACACGCCCGATCGCAGCAGAGCAGAAACCACGAAACAAAAGCCAGACAACGCCGTGCATGAAACAGTCCCACAGTGCTTTTTTTTTTAATGTTCAACGGCGTTTTCCCTTCCTCTGCATCATTAAGCGAGCGCGTTCTCCTTACCAA